AGAGAAACAGATGGACTACAGTCTGTAACTGTAGAACTACAAAGTGCACCTATATAGTAAGTGGAGCTGATAAAATGGACAATGAGCATAGAAACAAGGAGGTGGTCAGAATGTTAGGCCTGATCGGTGTATGTGTTTAAACATGGATGTTCGTCAGTGTGCTGGTTGAGGAGATGCTTGCCTTAGTTTTCTTTTCTCTTGTCTTCTCTTCTCTTCAGCCCATTAAAAGAAGCCTTAGTTAGCTAGGAATGGCTGCAGGACTGGAGCAGCAGGGTGTACTGTGATGATGTGATGTGAACTCCTCTGAACTTGCATCAAAGGCTGAAAAGTTTTCAAAGGCAGCACTGGATAGGAAGATTGTATCTTTGTCCATGAGATTGTACCCATATCCTGCATGGTTGTTAGCGCATCTGCACTTTAACAAGCCTTGATTACGCTGTAGAAAAAGCTTCTCATTTTTCCTGCCAAGAGTAAAAATGCATTACAATCATTTACCAGTCCAATTTAGCCACTTCATATGCTTCATTCGAGAATGTATTTTGAGTAGATGAGTAGACAAAGATTTGTGCCAAGTTGCACAGGAACCCCGTCACTTACAGAGGTTTTACTGTCTGCTGTCTCAGTGAAGGTCATGGAAGGCCCACTGGTGTAACAGCAGGTTACAAACTCCGGTACCCAATGGGGTCTGTGTCAGGCTTACTAGCGAAAGGTCAATATGCTATTTACAGAAAGCCCTCCAATGCTCCGGGGAAGCGAAGAACCCCAAATGACGTTAATCAGATAACAAAGTGTTGACATGATGTCAGCAAGTTTCAGAAGAGTTTACCTCGGGGCACAGAGAAAGAGAGAGAAAAGGAGCAAGAGAGAGATTTAATCAGCATGTTTACCTACTTTAACATCACCAATGTGCCCTCCAGGCACATGACTACATGCAGTCTTTGTGGAGAACTGCACAGTTTGAAGGGTACCGGGATTGCTGTGCTTGTATACACAGTCAAAGGGGCATCCTATAGTGGATGGTCTACAGGACGTCCTGTGGTAAGCTGCTGTATTTGGTTTCGAGGATGTCCTGCACTGTCAGAAAAAAAGGATACTGTACAGGTTTATTTTAGTTCATCAAGGTGCTAGAAATGTAAATGTATCCACAAAGGTACAACAATGGTCTTAAGGTCCAACTTTGTACCTTAAGTGGATTTTCTCAGTGTACCTTTTCAAAACCCAATGTGCAACCAAAAGTACTGAGGATGTACTATTTTGGGTACTACCCACGGGACAGTAGGGGCACCACCCCAGTGACAGTTTACCATCTGTCTCAGTATGTGCTAATGTACTAGTACAGGCTGAAAATATAAATGGTAACATACACTTACTTTTCTCTGCTTTAAGCTTTAGCATCTGCTATAGCTGCCTTTCTCACATCTCCAGCAGGATACCTTTCCACAAAAAAAGGGGATGTAATATAGTGTGCTACTGTAGAGGGTGTCCTGTGGTAAGCTGTTGTAGGAGATGTGTGCTATTAAAGATGTTCTAAGGCAGGGGTGGGGAACTGAGTCCAGCACAGATTAGTGATTTCCGTGCTCTAGCATATCAACCAAAGCTGGTCATTAGCTGATGAGTTGAATCAGCTATGCTTGGGCAAGGAAATCACCAAAATGTGAAGGAATCTGGCCTTCCAGGACTGAAATTTCCCATCCTTGTTCTAGGGGATGTCCAGTGTTGAGTTGCTAAGGACTATAGGACCTTCTATAGTAAGTCAAAGTAGCAGATATACTGGGTACTAGTTTATTATAAAGCGTATCCTATATTGAGCTACGATTGAGCTTAGATTGTCTAGGGAATGGCTTGTAGTGTGCTACTGAAAGTGATGCCCTACAGTGAGCTGCTGCACATCCTGTAGTGAGCTACTTTAGGACTGTGTCATTCATTTCTTCATTCAAGCCAGGACTACAGGTAACATCGAGGTAAACCCAGAGAGACGTGATCCAGACGACAGTAGTTTTATTCTGTAATTGCACCTGGCAATTTGCTGAGCGTATGTTGGAGGAACACATACAAGGGAGGGACACTGTGCAAAGGGCAGCATCTATCTCTCTCAGCGCTAAAGTCCCTAGATTTGAAAGGTCATGTCACTGTGGCTTAATTTGAAGCCTGTTTTTGTAATAATAAGGACACACTCCAATGCGCTTGTTCAACTTCGTTATTATTAATCATTCTTTATATATTCATTATTAAAAGGAAAGTTCTCTAAGGAGGGCATGGGGATTGGAAGGGTGCAAGGTGCGTCCTTACCTGTAGGTTATTGGAGGTACTCTTACAAAGAAGTGCTAAAATGCTATTTTACCACCATTTGAATTTCAAATCCAGTGGGGCCATCATACCGACCATGTGATTCTTTTGGGTTAAAGTGAGACCATTCTTGGAAATATGCTGCACTGCTAGAAGTGATTTATTACGTAGAGTAGCTGGCCAACTTCCCATCTCCATTCCCCTCATGACCTCCCTCACTCCTATCTCTTTCTACTTTCTCTCACTCTCTGCCCTCCATGGCCATTTTGCCGGCATAGTCCGAGAGACTCTTTGACCTTTAATTGGGTTACTAGTTTTATCCTCCATTAGGGTGCATTAGCCTGATCGTTTCATCCCCCCTGTATCCTACATCTGTATCGCAGTAATAATGCTGTAATGCTGGCCAGCTCTCACAGCTGTTTAAGTGCACTGGATCGGCCTGTAGATAAATCATTTACTACACTATACTGTCTGCAGGGATTGTGTAAAGGCCATCCAACATGCAGTGCAGTCTATGCCATGTTGGAAAGTACAAATTAGAGACTGTGGATTTTGATTGGACTCTGTTATAATATGCAAGAGACCGAGTGTCAGTTTCATCTATTAATTAAACTGTTGCACAGTTGAACGTACCAAAATACCTCTCTCTCTCTCTCTCTCTCTCTCTCTCTCTCGTTTGCTTTCCCATTTTCTCTCCCACTTTCTCTAGGTCTGCAACTTTGTCTCCCTTTCACTTTATCTTTGGGAAACTAAAGATAGGGGTGTTCAGTTGTTCAATATTGTTTACAAAGGGCTGGTGTGGCTGTAGGTTTTCATTTCAAAAAAGCAGGACCACACCTGATCTGTTTATTTGATAAGTCTCAGTTGTTCATGAAAAAGTCAATAGTGCTTTTTTGCAAATAAAACCTGCAGCCACACAGGCCCTGTGAGCATAAGCACCTCTGGCCTAAGATATAAGATTTATCAAGTTCTCCTATTTAAAAATTAGCTGGATGTTAATTATCTATATGATCTAAAGTAGATGAACATTTAGATAACTTTTCACCCAGTGACAGTCCACACACATATACACAGTGAATCAATCTTAATCTAGACTACAAAGTTAATTTTGTCTTATTTGATTTTTGCCTCTTTTGCAGAATTCAGACAGATTTGTGTCAGGCTACATTTAGATTCAGACAGAATTTTGTTGGGCTGTAGTCAGGTTCAGACTGAAATTTGTTGGGCTACACTCAGGTTGAGATAGAATTTTATCAGAACACAGTTGGGTTAAGACAAACTTTTGTTTGGCTACAGTTGAGCTTAGACAGAATTTGAGTTACAGTCTGGTTCAGACAGAATTTTGACATGTACAGTTGGGTTCAAACAGAATTTTGTTGGGCTACAGCCAGGTAGAATTCTATCAGGATACAGTAGGGCTAAGACAGACTTTTGTTTGGCTACAGTTGAGCTTAGACTGAATTTGAGTTACAGTCTGGTTCAGACAGAATTTTGACATGTACAGCTGGGTTTAGACAGAATTTTGACATGTACAGTTGGGTTCAAATAAAATTCCTTCGGGCTACAGCCAGGTTTAGACCAAAATTTGTTGCGCTACAGTCGGGTTCAGATAGAATTTTAATGGGCTACAGTTGGTTTAAGATAGAACTTTGTCAGGCTACCATTGGGTTCAGACAGAATTTTGTCAGGTTACATTTGGGTTCAGATAAAAATTGGCAGGTTACAGTCAAGTTGACATAATTTTATTGCTCAGTAGTTGTGATCAGACAGAACATTGTTAGCCTGCAATCAGGGTTCAGACAGAATTTTGTCAGGCTACATTCTGGTTTGCAAAGAATTTTGTCAGGGTACTGTTGGCTTGGGACAAAATTTTATCATGCTACAATTGGGTTGGGGCAGAATTTTGTAAGTTCACAGTCAGATTCTGACCGAATTTTATTGCTGATTAGTTGGGTTCAGACAGAACATTGTTAGCCTGCAGTTAGGTTCAGACAGAATTCTGTCAGGCTACATTCTGGTTTGGATAGGCTACCATTGGTCAGGGTACCATTGGCTTGGGTGAGAATTTTTTCAGGCTGCAGTTCAGCTTGGGACAAAAAAGTGTTGGGCTACAGTTGGGTTGGGACATAATTATATTGGGCTGCAGTTTGGTTCTGGCTGAATCTTTCCAGGCTGCAGTCTAATTCAGACAGAATTCTGCTTAAATACATCTAGGTTCAGTGAGGCTATTGCTGGGTTCAGATCAAAATTTCATCTTTGATTAAAGCTCTATCTCATATAATAAATGCCTTAGATGGATATGCTGCCAACCTCGCCCATTCCTTCCCTCTTATTGCATACTTTTTCTCCTCGTCTGCGGAACAGATTGGACAGTGGCAGACACTAGATAAGGGTCGGGTGTATAAATAATTCAGCTCCCTTTCCTGCAGCCACCCGGTAGTTGCCTCGTCCAGCCGCCTTCCTTCCGTTTCTTTCCCTCTGTCCAAAAATGGCAGGCAGATGCATAAGAGCAAACAATGACCAAAGCCCCTTCAGCTCCCTGCGCTTGTATAGATGTGAACTTGTTCTAAAGAAGTCAAGTGACGGAAAGAAGGGAAAATATGTCTCGCTGTGTATATGTGGGTGTGTGTTTGTGTGTAAGACACGGCTCAGACGATCTCCTCTGAGCAAGAGAAGAGACGAGACATGAGAGGGTGTGTGGTGCATGGGGGTGGGGGGGGTGCAGCAGTCATAAATATTCATGTTGTCTTTGTTTGCTTTTGTGTGTTTGTGTTTGCAGGCCCTCAGACGCTGATGGTTCCCGAGGGACTCTCGCTCCATCACCGAGGGTAGGAAAGGCTTTGCACATCCACTATATTCTGAGCCCAGATGGGTGACTCTGGCAGAGTGTCTGTCCAGGGCAAAAGTTTGGAATCACTGTTTTCACTAATATAAAACCAGTTCTGTGGTTTTAATGATTCCAGATTGATGCCAGGACTCTACAGTATTGCAGCAGTCCTGGCATCATAGAGTCATTTAGGCATCATCATATCCCGTTAAACCCACCAATGATGCGTTGATTGTGGTGTGATGGGGGTGTAGAGAAACTTTGAACAGATGTTTACTGCAGTTGGATGGGGTGGGGTGTTGCGGGGGGAGTTGTTGTTCCTCGTCTTAATGGTGCAAGCATCCACCTCGCAGTAAGGTCACCTCAGATGCCACCTCAAAATTTCTGCCACATCATTGGCAGAACTTTTGAGGTGGCATCTGAGGTGACCAGTCAGATTTAAAGGGGGGAAGACCCTAAACTTGCACAAACATGCATAATGGTGCACTGCTTGCTACACGGCTGGTAAAAAAGGCTTCAACAACCTTAGGAGAGTTTGCATGCTTCACTTCATACCTTCTGCATTTTAGGGATGCGTTGCATGTTGTTGGAGGGTAATTAGTAGATTTCTCAAAAGGTTAAACCTTTGATGATTTGTCATAAATGTGGCTCTTGCCTCATATTAAATGCAGTGTGGATTAAGCTGCAACACATTCCAAATCCACCCCACCCAAATCCCTCGATGGTGAATGGAAGTCCCACTCATGGTTTAGTTGTGGAGCTGGGCTTGTCTCACAGGCTTGTAGGAAGCTGAAAATATTCAGACATTTTAGTGCCCAGAATATTAAACAAGTCTGTATATAATTCTGAAATGACTGAAAAGGCTGTAAAACATTAAGAATGACAGAAACTAATATCCATAATATCTCAAATCTTAATAAATACACAAAAGAATATTGCATGTGTAGCTAAATGGTAGTGGTAGCCATTTGATGCCTAAATTTTGTGTATACCTATGTCCATTTTTGTGTCATTCACTGTCAGAAGCCACATACACAAGGCTGTTTGGGATTACTTAAAGGGGAACTCCAGCCAAAATGAAAAATTTAACCATTGCTGTATCAGTTGTAAATTTCTGCCTGTTTTGGAGGTCTTTCAGTTTTTGAAATCATTGCATATGTCTGGGATTAGTGCATTTGCTTGAATACCATTGATGAATATATTCTGACAGAAGGCAAGTAGGCAGGTCAACATTTATAAAAGTGTTTTATTGTGTTCACATGATATGTTTTATTGTGGTAGTTGTACATGATTTTTTGATATCATGAAAGTGGCAGTAACACCCCCATTTACCCCTCAGTGCTCACTAGCAGCTCAACACAATGTTAGAGTCACAATATTCCACACAAAGAGACAACACTGTTCCAGGTAATCTGATGACAGATGTAGGGGAAAACACACTTTATTTGAATAAATTCATTAAAGCCAATTTTCATTCTGGCCACTAGGGGGTTCATTTTCCCCACACCTCCAAAGTTCAGTGCTGGTCTATTGTTCTGAGAGCACTAACAGCCTCTGCTAAGCCAGCCTCTTTTTAGTTCCTTTATCTACTTCTGCAACATTTCTATTTGGTTTCACCCTTTGTTGCTCACTAGCAGCTCAACAAAGAGTCACAACATTTTACACACAGAGAGCCAACAGTGTCCTAGTTACTGTTAAAATACTCTGACTATATTTGACTATATTAATACAAAACACATGACTGGCAGGAAGGCCAAAAGGGAGCCTATAGAAAGAGCTCCATTTAATTTCCCATTTGTAGCTCATTGAAATAAGCACAGAAATTTTGGTAAAAATGTGCAGATTCTAAGCTTTTCTTGCTTTTGCAGAAACAAATGCTTTGAAAATATTTGGTATATTTTGTTCTTTTATCATCAAAATGAAAAAAAAATGCTAAGACTTTATAATAACAGGTTCTATAATATAATAATAACAAATATCTGTTGACTATTAATAATTACATAATAGTTACATATGCATTAATTAATATTATCACTTGATTTTTTTTTACTTATTTAGTGACACAAAAGAATTCAATTTTGATCATGATAATCAATTCATTTGAAATTTCTAAAGTAATATACATACTCATTTTTTAATAATCATTTAGTTACTTGGTTGTCAATAATTATATAACTTTAAATATTAAGCACTCACTCTGTTGCATTAAAAAATAATAATTATGAATTAATTGTACAAATGTCTCTTTACTACTTCATCATCATTAAGTGGACAATACCTTTTTAAGATTATTATGTATTAACAAGAATTAAGTTTCTTACAAAGATATGTTGTTTTTATGGAACATTAATATAATGCACTTATGAGAAGCATTTGTTTTAATAAATATGTAACAATTATACAATGATTAACTATCATTAACAATCTAACAGGTTGTTATTTAAAGCAGCCTGATATTCTGAAGTGTCTACAAGACTACATCTTTAATTAATTATGTAATTATGTAATTGCATTTAAATGAGTGTGCAGTGTTAATTGAATGTATAGCAAAATGAGAGTAAACTACACCAAGATGACTTCTTGTTTTCCCATGATTCACCACTCGCTTTCTCACTCCCGACCGTTCAATTCACTCCAACCGTCAGCGTGTTTCACACGAATGAGCTGTGAATATTTAAGCGCGCCCTTCTTTAACATTTCAGTAGGCTTGCTCCAGATTTGTGGAGGTGACATGCCCCCCCCCACCCCCCCCCCACACCCCCACCCCACACCTCACTCTGATGCATTATAAATGTCCCATGTGCCGCTAAAGGCCTTACGCACAACTGGCTTTAAGTACTCCGTTAGGACTCCCTGGACACTCGGAGAGGCCATTTTTCTGATGCAGGGTGTTATCCTGCTTCGTGTTACCCCATCATGTGTTTAATAATGGATTTAGAGATGGTGTGAAGGAGCTCTCTGCTCAGTGGCAGCTTCTGCTGTGGTGAAAATCACTCTTGTCCTACAAATCTTCTTGGCAGTTTGTGTGTGGGGGGTGCTGTGCAAAAGGCAGAGACCACCCTTCATTTATTTCCAGTCAAAATGGCATTTTAATTACTCAGTTACTCAGCTACTATTTATCTGATGTAGAGAGTTCTGGTGGTCTATCAGGTCTTGAGTTTAGAAGCCCCATTTTCTATATTTTTAAATAATTATTATCAGATCTTTTATAATATCTTTGATTTTCTCCTCCACGCTAAATATTTTCTATTTGATATCCTCAGAAATATCAAAGGAAATTAAATAAATGAAACGTGGTCTCTGACTTTTACAAAAGTCTGAAGAGGCCATGAGCTGTTGCTATAATTTTCTGGATTGTTATCTTGAGATTGCAAGATAATTAACTGATTATCTTAAGATAACAACTTTGTTATCTTGAGAGAACAAGACAATTAACTTGTTATCTCAAGATAACAATCCAGAATATTTTAACTACCTTATGGCCTCTCTGGACTTTTGCAATAGTTGCCCCACAACCCCAAAGCATAGATCCACTCTCATGCTTAACATTTGGCAAGGTGTTCTTTTCATCAAATGCTGCTTTTTCCTCCAAACATACCTTTAGTGATTGTATCAAAAGAGTTCTGTTTTTACTCATCAATCCACAGCACTTGTTTCTAAAATGTCTCTGGCTTATCTAGGTGTTTTTTTTTTGTATACTTCACACATAAACTTTTGTGATGAGATCACAGACAATGTTTCTTCTGATGACTCTTCCATGAAGATCATGTTTGTGCAAACAGTGCTGCACAGTACAACAGTGTACCACCACTTGTGTCAGCTAAATGTTCCTGTAGGTCCTTTGCTCTCATATGGGGGTTTTGCTTTGCCTTCTGGGCGGCATAAAAGCAGGTCTATCAGGGAATTTATATTCCAGATTTTGGCTTGGCTTCCACAGTTCCCCTTAACTGGCATTTTAACTGGAAATTGCAACCTGAAAGCCTGTCTTTCTATAGAATACAATGTCTACATGGGTTCTCAGAATGAATGATTTAGCATTGCACCATAGAACATACCATTCTATGCCATTTGAATCCAGATTTTTTGAAAGCTCTCTCTCTTTCTCTCACTCTGACTCCCACTCCTATTTAGTCTTTTATTCTCTCTCTCTCTCTCTCTCTCTCTCCCCCCAGTGGTAATGAGTTCATATGGGTGACAGAGTCAGTGACAGGAGTGTTCATTAGCACATCGCCATGCAAACACATCTCATATAGATAGACTGGATAAATAATGAAAGAAAAATATGGAGTGTGCTAGGATGAAGATGAAAAATAACACTGATCTAACATGTATTCACGTTTTGAGTGTGATTGGTGGAAAAACTAATTGCTGTTTTACTCAACTGGTTCAGATCATTAGACTTTACTGTCTCTCTCCTCGACATGACTGCTGCGAAAATCTTGCTGTTTCTCTATAATGTATTGAAATAACTGATAAAACTCTGAGATGCAGCTTCATAATCTTTCAAGCTGAACATTCTGCACTGCATAAATCCAACATGACCCAGCAGTGAGCACACATTTTTTTGTAGAATTGTCCCTATGCGTTTCTTTGGCACGATCACAATCCTCTAGTGCCAAAACTGACATTTGTGCTTTTGTAGCTAATATAGCCGCACATTGCACACCAAGTTTTTGACACCAAGTAGTTTAAAATAGTCATAATTTTAGCTTTTTTTACATATTTTTTTTTACATTTTTTATAAAATGGTCATTTTGCAGTGATGAATCATGACTACCAAAGCTTCAGTTTGGGCTATACATGTCAAAACTTATTTATAAATTAACAAAAAAAAAGCCCACTCCTATAGTAAAGCAAATTTCTGCTAGCTCCTCTATGGGATTTCTAGTAGTATGTTAGGGCAAGGCTAACACTGGTGTTGTTTTGGCTATTCTACACTACACACACACACACACACACATTTGAAGCTTGTAAAATATATTGCCATGTATTTTATCTTGT